AAAAGACTTCTCTCACCATCAGCTTTTACGTTGTTAGGAGACTTAAGCAATGTTTTGAAAACTAAAGATTGTTGATGTGAAATCATCTTTAATATTTCTTTTACAATTTTTTCTTAAGGAAAGAAAATTAAACAAGCATGCATTTCCTAATTTTCTAAAACCAGAACCTAATAGTAAAAACACCAAGAGGAATATGGTGTTTTTTTCAGCATGAGGCCTTCATGAAAACAGAACTAGTGACATCAGGACCAGAATCTTACTCCACAGGCTGTATTGCTTGAGTAATATGACTTTATAAATGTTTTCATTTATTTTCATTAATGCCAAACCACAGAAATTATTTTTTTGTTCCATTTGGCTTCTTTACAATTACACATGCCATTACAAATTATGTGATTGTTTTGGAGTTAAATCTATTTTTGAAACATTTAAGCTGTAAATTGATGGACCTATTACTTGATCTGTTTTATCTTTTACTAGATCTATGTTCATATTGCTTTAGTAGTGCCTGTTAAAAGGTTCCCTTTCATACAGAAATGTAATCTATTGCCTTATTTTCTTCTTTTCCAAATTATGTCAGTTTTATTTTTATATAAACTTTTCCTAGTTCTATGTTTTCAAGAAATAATACATACACGAAGAATGCTACAGAAATAGCATGATTCAAGTCCATGGACAGCATAATGCCTATCAATAATCTATATCAACATTTCTGTTTTCAAAGTATAGTTTAGATGTGGGCTTTTTTTTGATAATCATTTCTACTGTCTTTATTAGATCTATCAAAAGATACTTATAAAAAATCAACACTGAGATTGAGCGGGGACCCCTCTGAGGGGCCTGCTGGGCCCCCAAGCACAGAAATAAAGGAAAAATCTTGAGATCCTTCAAGGAACGTTCCAGGACACTTGGCTAGCCTTGAAAAGTGGAATGGGCAACCTGATGAGAACAATGGCCCTCCAAGGAAGCCAAAGTCATGAGGTGTTTTGGTGTTTTGGTTCCCTATGGAAAATAAAAGATGGCATATTAACATATGTTCTTGAGTTGTTTTTCAGAACCCCCAGCCAGATGGAAAATGCAGATAAGGGGGAGTTGAGGAATTAAACTCTGACCTCCATTCTTTGTTGTTGTTACATTCATCCTCACATTCCTATGGCCCCCACCCCCCACTTCAGGATATCCTGCCTTTTTGGGCCTGGCTTACCCCTGCCTTTAAAAACCCTTTAAGACATCAGGGAGTTTGAGTTTTTAATGTTAACTGCTTGTTCTCCTTGCATGAGACCCTGCAAATAAAAATATCTCTTTCTGCCACTGTAGCTCTTGTCCCCAGTATCTGGCCTTACTATGCCAGGTGACTGGACACTAGTTTGGTTCAATAACAACACAGTCTTGAAAACAGAAATGCCAGATTTATCAAATAAAAATATTGTATGCCCAGTTAAAGTTAAATTTCAGATAAACTGTGAATATTTTTTTAGTATCGAAGTATCCCAAATATTAAATGAATTTTTTTCTGTGTAAATATGTCCCAAATATTTATACTAATGAAATTATTCATGGTTTATCTGAAACTCAAAATTAACTGAGCATCCTGTATTTTATTTGGCAGCTCTACTTGGGAGGCATTATGGTAGTGTAAATGAACATAGATGGGAATGCAAACCCTAGGTGGTTCTGGTACTTAAGTAGTTAGGTAGCCTTGAATATGTTATCTAACCTACCTGAAGCTAAGTTTCTGCAGGGTTTTTTTAAAAAATAAACATTAGAAATTGCATATTTGAAATTAGAAATTATATATTTAAAACACGTTGTACATAATAGATTTCTATTAAACAGTAGCTGTTATTATCAGAACAAAGGAAAAATACAAGGCAAGTTACCAGTTGTCCTCCAATCCCCATCTTAATAAACTTGCAGTAAAGATTCTTAATTATGGCACTCAGCAGCTAAACAACCTAATAGATTGATAATATAAGAGTCTACCCAGATCTTGGTAACTGTTTACCACATTAGAAATTTGATCAGTAATAAAACATACACAATCATTACCCTCTCCTCTCTTCTCTGCTACTTGCCTCCTCTCATGTTAATTACCAAAGATCAAATAGCTTATTAGTATCAGGGTCTGAATATGTGATGCCTTTTCACATTATCTTCCCCCCCCCAATTACAGTTTTACTTCAATCCTGCCTTTCTAGGACATCTATTTTTTTAATGTTATTAACTTTCATTGAGATATAATCTACATATCATAAAACTCATCTTTTTAATGGATACAATTCAGTGATTTTTTTAGTATAGTCACAAGGTTGCGCAACTGTCACTACTATCTAATTCCAGAACATTTTGATCACCCCCCCCCAGAAGTAACCCCATGTTCATTAGCAGTTATTTCTCATTTTCCCTTCCTCATTCCCCTTATAACCACTAATCTACTTTCTCCCACTGTGGATTTGCCTATTCTGGACATTACAAATGAATGGAGCCACACAATATGTGACCTTCTATGTCTAGCTTATTTCACCATAATGTTTTTAGGTTCATCTATGTTTTAGCATGTATCAGTACTTCATTCTTTTTCATTCTATGGTTCAATAATACTCTATTGTGTGAATATATATCATATTTTTTTTATCCATTTATCAGTTGATGGACATTTGGATTGTTTCTACTTTTTGGCTCTTAGAAATAATGCTACTGTGAACATTCTTGTACAAGTTTTATATGAACATATATTTTCTTTTCTCTTGAGTATATACCTAGGAATGGAATTGTTGGGTCATATGGTAACTGTAGCATTTTGATGGATTGCCAAACTGTTTTCCAAAATGAACACCATTTTTACATTCATACCAGCAATGCATAAGAGTTTCAATTTCTCTACATCTTTACTTATTATATGTTTTTATTTTTTAATTATAGCCATCCTAGTGAGTGTGAAGTGGTTTTGATTTGCATTTCCCTAGGGATCAATGACGTTGAGCATCTTTTCATATGCTTATTGCTCATGTGTTTATCGTCTTTGGAAAAATATCTGTTCAAAACCTTTGCCCATTTTAATTGGGTTATTTGTCTTTTTGCTGTTGAGTTGTGAGTTCTTGCTATATTCTTATGAGCTGTATGGTTTGCAGATATTTTCTCCCCTTCTGTGGGTCTCTTCACTTTATTGACAGTGTTTTTGGATGAGCAAGTTTTAATTTTGATGAAGTCTTATTTATCTATTTTTTATTGTTGTTGGTTATTCTTTTGGTGTCACTTCTACATTGTCTTTTCTTCCTTGGAGAATAAAACAAACACTAAACTAGGAGTGAAAAGACATGGGTTCTCTTTCCAGCCTTGCAGGTATATAAATGTGTGACCTTAGGCAAGTATTTAAACTTATTTGGAATGCAGTTTCCACATCTATAAAGGAAGTCTGGTTTAGCAGAGAGTAGGTATTATGTAATTTTTTGTGAATAAATTATCTTTATGAAACCCCCTAAGTTAGTAGTTCTCCACCTGGGGCAATTTTGCCATCCAGGTGACATTTGGCAATCTCTGGAGACATTTTCCCTCATCACAACTGCGGAGGAATGCTATTAGCATTTAGTGGGTAGAGGCCAGGGATGCAGTTAAACATCCCACAGTGCATAGGAGAGCCCCCACAAAAAGAATTATCTAACCCCAAATGACTCTAGTGCTGAGGTTGAGAAACCCAGCTCTAAAATTATGATTCTGCTATGCCAGTTTTAAGTTGTAGTCTTTGAGTTTGTCTGCAGTAGCCAGGTAGTTTTGTGCTCTTAACCTATTGCTAGGGGTATTAGCCTAACAAGGACAGTAGAAAGGGGAGGTACCAATGAAGGGAAAATCATTTAGATTTTGTAGGAGGAAGTCAATACTTGCAAGTCCAGAGATTTTTGGAAGTGTTTTCAGGGCTATTTTAAACTCTTGTGTCTTTTAACATGAAGAAAAAAATATTTCAATATAAACTCCTCCAGGCAAAGCCTTGTAAATGTATTCTTGTAATTGAGTCTTTTTCTTTAGGCTTTTTGGAACAAGATAGTTTTCGTGAAATAGTTTGTACATGCTATGAAGTATATCTAATCAATCATTATAGGAATAAAACAGAGCAACTTGATGGAAGGAACTTGCAGTTGATATGTCTCTGCATTAGTGACTTGTCTGAACTCAAAGAAAGTTGATATTCTTATTACCAGGTGATCACTTTAATGTAACTTTCTCTAATACCATCTACTGGCATGTACTCATTCACTTGAGTACCACAAATAATCTATCCAAAATAAAACAGAGAGTAGCTTGAAATATGTTTCTGCATTTCTAAATATTTTCCATTTAAATATAGCCAGAGACAAATTGATTAAAAGCCTACAGTGTTTTGAGGAAATATTAATATTAAACTTGCAGCTATGCCTTTTCTGTGATAATATTCCTGATAGTTTCATGCCATGCATCATTAGATGGAATCGTTGTCACTAGCACCACAACCTCCATCATCACTATCATTGAGTAAAATTTCTTGATCATAATGTATCACACTCTGTTCTAAATACTTTATATATGTATCTCATTTTTCCTCACAAAAATCCTATGAGGTAGTTTTTTTTTAATCTCAATTTTGCAGATAACAGAAAAATATATAATAAAGGGGTAAAATACTTGCTTAGCCATAATTCCATATTAAGCCTATTCTTGTGTATCAAAACTATTTCATATTTCAACAATGGAGAAAGTATATTTACTATTAAATCTATAACCTTTATGTCCTAATTTTCTGACACTCAAAGTAATGGCGATTGAAGACTGAGTTATTTCTAAATTTTTTTTCAAGAAAAGATGTCTTATGTTTAATTATTTGTCTCTCTCAAAACTATATGCACACACCTTGAGACTGCTATAATACCTTCCCATCTCTGCATATTTATGTAATTTTAAAACTGTACAACTTCTTCATTATATAAGTAATAGAAAGGTTTTCATTTTGACTTTATTTATATGTACAGGAAGCAGTGAAAGAAAACAATAAGAGAAGAGAAATGGAAGAGAAGACCAGAAGGGCAAAGCTTGCAAAAGAGAAAGCTGAACAAGAGAAGTTGGAACGCCAGAAGAAAAAGAAACAACTCATTGATATAAATAAAGGTATGAAAGTATTTCCAATTTTTCAAAAGATGAATAAAGTACAAAGTAACTGTACTTATTTATTTTTTGATTATAAAATAAATAATTGTATTCTTGGTAGAAAATTCACAATATTATTAGTTACTTGCGTCAAATTGCTTTCAAGATGCTATCTATTTCTTACCACCCTACACTGAGAACTCAGGATTTTTGATAACCAATGCAAGGTGATATGTTGTTGAAACAATCTTTTTCTCTTCATTTATTTTACAATAGTATATTATGTTCTGGATGAGGCAGTGGTGAGGGAAGAAGAGAGCAAGATGAAAAGTGAAAAATTGGTGTGAGGAGATGAACCTTAGCCCTTAATTTTATTTTGTTGGCACATATCCATTGACAGTGAAGTAACAATTAAGAGTCTTCCTGTTCTCCAAAAAACAATCCCTTTTTTTCTGGGACACACACACAGAGCCTGTGTTTCTCAGCCTCCCATTATTGTGGTCAGGACCATGTACAACTGAGATTTGTATAGGGAAATATAGACAGAAGTGATTAACATTATTACAGGCATGGCAACAAAAAACTGTGTCTGTGGTCCTCCCTGAGAAATCATGCTTTGTTTGACTGAAGTTCAAATGACCACAATAGTCATCTGGAGAGCCATCAATTGGACCTGGTTGCTATGATTTAAGAAAGGCAAAATTGATTGAAGAGCGTGATGATCTTTCCACACCTACCCCAGGAAATCTCCCCTTGTACTTTACATGACTGAGAAATAAACACCTGATCTGTTGGGGGCAGGGGGGTGGGACAATTAATAGTCTTCCTTGGGGGCTCAAACATTTCAATTCATAATAGATATTGAAAGTACTGTTATTACAAGTTGAATAAAATAGGGAGAGGTATCTTGCTCAGCTATGAGCCCAAGTACAAAATGCTAGTACATCCACATTGTATAAAGTAAGTTGTTTTCTTGCTTAGCAAAAATCACTGTATATTATAGGTAGGTTGTTTGATTTCAGTTGGGTTGGTTTGGTTTTTGAAGAAGAGAGGGCAAAAGAAGAAAGTGATTGGTGTTAGGTATCTGCACACTGAAAATTTAAAAATGAAGCAGCATATGCCACCTGAACGTTAGAGGATTTAAGAACAAAACAAAACAAAATCTGAACAAGATACAAAGTAATATGATTAATAGGGACCATCTATTACTGGAGATAATAATAAAAATTACAGCACTTTGTAATATTAACCATATGTCAAGCACTATTCCAAGATTTTTGCCTGTTTTAAGTAAATCCTCACAATATCTCTATGAGATAAACACTATTATTATCTCATTTTACCCAGGAAACAAATAGAATTTTAAGAGAAGAAAAAAAAGTAATATTATATAAACAGGTGAGTTAAAATAGAGTAGTATCAACATAATTTAGTAAACAAATGTCATAATTAGGATCAAAAGAACTGGTCTTTACTGAAAGTCACTCAGTTAGGAGGTAAGTACTAGAGCACAGCATGGCAATGTGTATTTGTAGGAAGTTATTTAAAAGGTGAAGTCAAGAGAAAAATGCTGAAAGTTAGCTCCCTTATGTGCATGGAGGAGTAGTGAAAGAAGAGACTGGAAGAGGTAGTAGGGGACAGATTGTGAGGTTTCTTTTGTGCTCTGCTAAGGGTCTTACCCTGAAAGCTATGGGAAGCCTATGAATGTTTATAATATGGAAAGTGATGTACATACTCATGTTTCTTAGAAAGATCATTTTGACAGCATCAGAAAGAATGGCTTGGAAGGGGAAAAGGCTCAAGACAACAGATGATGGTGGCCTGAACTAATGCAGTGACAGTGAGATTAGAAAAGTGAGCAGTAAGATGCGTGTTAGTCAGAATTCTCTTAAGAAACAGAACCAATAGGATATGTGTGTGTGTGTGTGCGTGTGTGGAGAGAGAGAGAGAGAGAGAAAGAGATTTATTTTAAGGAATTGGCTCAAATAATTATAGAGACTGGCAAGTTTAAAATCTGCAGAGTAGGATGGCAGGCTAGAGACCCAAGGGAAAGCCAATGTTGCAGTTCAAGTCTGAAAACCATCTGCTGCAGAATTCCCTTGTGCTAAGGGGAAATCAGTCTTTTTATTCTCTTCAGGCCTTCAACTGATTGGATGAGGCCCACTCACATTATGGAGGGCAAACTGTTTCACTCAAAGTCCATTGATTTAAATGTTAAGCTCATCCAAAAACACTGTCACGGAAACACCCAAAATAATGTTTGACCAAATATCTGGACAATGTGGCCCAGCCAAGTTGACACATAAATTAACCATCACAAGAGAGTGTTAAAAGTTAGAACTGACAGACTCTGGTGTTTGATTGGATATGTGAATCTAGGGAGAGAGGCATTAAGGAAGGTGGTGCCCTGCATGGAGAAAGAAAATTCAGGAATAGAGCAGGTTTCGGCCTCAGGAGAGTTACAATGATTAGTATCCTTTTGATCATGATTAGTTTTTCAGATGCCATGTAAAGATGGGAAATGTCTAAGAAGTCATTGCATATGTGAGTATGAAACTCAGGAAAGAGGTCTAAACTAGGGATCATTGGTTTTTATTTAAATATTGAAGTTATGGTGTACTAGTTTGCTAGGGCTACCATAACAAAATGCTCCACACTGAGTGGCTTAGAACAACAGAAATATGTTGTATCACAGTTCTGGAGGCTAGAAGTCCAAAACAAGGTTGTCAGCAGAGCCGCCCTCCTTTTGAAGACTCTAGGGCAGGATCTGTACCAGGCCCCTCTCCTAGCTTCTAATAGTTCCTTGGCTTGTGGCAGCATTACTTCAATCTGAAAATGGCATTCTCCCTGTGTACATGTCTGTTTTTTCACATGGTAATTTTTTTTTATAAGGACACTAGTCATATTGGATTAGGGGTCCACCCTACTCCAGTATGACTTCCTCTTAATTATTATTTTTTTCTAAAATAAATATTATAGAATGCCCCCCTTAATTACACAATTCAACCTGTAGCATATGGGTTTGAATGAGATCACCATGGTAAAGTATAAATCAGAGGTTCTGAAGCTATTTGATCTCAGATCCCATTTACACTTAAAAATGATTGAGGAACCCGAATACCTCTTATTTATATACGTTGTTTATATTGACATTTACTATATTAGAATTAAAACTGAGACAATTTTAAAATTATTTATTAATTCAGTTAAAATAATAATAAACCTATTGTATGTTAAAATAAGTAACATTTTTTTATGGAAAGTAACTATATTTTCCAAAAAAAAAATTAGAAGAGGAAAAATTAGTGTTACAAATCTTTTCAAAGTCTGACTTAATAAAAAAACAGCTTGATTTTCATTCCTGCTTTTGTATTCAATCTAACACAATATCATTTGTCATGTAACTTCTGGAAAACTCCACCATATAGTCATGAAAGAATGAGAAAGAAAAAGGCAAAAAAAAAAAAAAGCATCAGTATTATTATGAAAATAGTTTTGACCTTGGAGAGCCCCTGAAATGATCTTGAGGGGCCCCCAGGAGTCTTCAGCCCACACTTTGAGAACTTCTTGGGTGAACGTTGAAAAAAGCAAGCAGTTAAAGATGGAGTCTATCCAGTTTTGTGCCAAGAACATAATCTCTCTTCCACACCACACAAATTCCCAGCTCCTTGAAGTATTTGTCAGTCTTTCACTATTTTCTCAAAAATATACCTATAACAGAAAAAAAAAGTTTGGATACATTTTGATTGTATCTATAGTCTATGTTTTCATTTGCTAAGATTTGGTTAATTACCTCTTCAAATGTCATTGAAGCCATAGGATAAATATCTAAACAAGTTTTGTGCATTTGGTTAGCTGGGTGATTTCAACATGAAAGACACATTTTTAAATAGGACTTATCTTTTATGTGTTATTACCGTAGCTCTCTTTACAGATCAAATAGTAAACTGTACCATAAGTTTCTTCATTTGTAGCCTTTATGTTGCAAATATTTATTATTATTTATTGTAATATTACTTTACACTTGGTTTTTTTTGAGACAGAGTCTTGCTTTGTTGCCCAGACTAGAGTGAGTGCTGTGGCATCAGCCTAGCTCACAGCAACCTCAAACTCCTGGGCTCAAGCAATCCTCCTGCCTCAGCCTCCCAAGTAGTTGGGACTACAGGCATGTGCCACCATGCCCAGCTAATTTTTTCTATATATATTAGTTGGCCAATTAATTCTTTTTATTTATAGTAGAGATGGGTTCTCACTCTTGCTCAGGCTGGTTTCAGACTCCTGACCTCAAGCAATCCGCCTGCCTCGGCCTCCCAGAGTGCTAGGATTACATTTGTGAGCCACTGTGCCCGGCTTTACTTTACACTTGGAGTATGTATGTGTTAGCATTTATAAATATGTTTCAAAAAGAGATCCTTCCATTGGAAGTGTGTAGTCTTAATTAAGAAGATGAAAAGATACAGAAAAAGAGAGGAAGAATAGGGTTGGGTATCAAGATGGAGATCAGTGTCCATGAGTTTCTCAATGTCTTATGAAAGATACTGTTTTTGACTACATGGCAGGCAATTGTGGGCATTTTGAGAGCTGGGAGGAAGCATGGTGGAGACGCATCAAATGCGAATCCATGAGGTGTGAAAGCCTATGGAAGATGTGAGTGAGATGTGGTCAAAAAGTGATTTGTAGAACTTTAAATATGTCTGATTAGATCATTGTAATCTTCCTTTCTACTGGAAGAGAGATGATATAGATCAGTTCATTGCCACTGTGCGGTATGTATAGAGTATAGAGGTATTTCATGCATGTGTGACTAGCGAATACATACCATTGGATCCAGAGATCTTACCTATAACAAAAGTATTAAAGAGTCCCATGGGTAAAGTTAGTCACACTGGAAATTACAAACAACTTTAAAAAGATATATAGTCTTTCTGTAAAGTTTTTATTTCATATCAATTTAACACAATGACAGCCCCACTTCCTTTTAAAAGTACTAAATAACAACAGTGAAGTATATTTATCTGACA